ACTGATTTGTCTTTCAAGATGGGTTTTTTTTCTTTCTCTCTCACATTGTGACAATAGTGGAGCCTACTTTAGAGGATGAACCATTTAATGGCAATGGGGAAAATGTGTAGAATAGCACCCAGAAAATTTTGGAGTTACAGCACAGGTGCATATGAGGCACACGTGCACTTGTGAAACACATGGGACCCTGTCAGTCATCACACATGTGAGGACATTGAGCTGTACAGAGAAGCGGTAGATGTGAGGCTGTCTGTTACGTTGGTAAGAAAATCAGCCAAGTCTCCAGTGGTTGTGCTTGCCTGATGTTGCCCCTGATTTGTTCAGAAACCCAAAAGTGTTAGCAACAGATTGACTTAGTTTCCCAGATGTAGTGAAAGTCAAAGAGAGGCAATGCTGAATGCTCTGGTCTTAAGAGGTAGATTGGTAGCCTCAGATTTGTTGGTCATTATTACAGGCCTCCATGTATTCCAGAGACATTAAAATTAATCAATTGGAGTTAAAAAATCTACCTCCAAAGATCTTATGCCTGATCCTGACAGTGATTAGACTTCAAGGCAAAAGCAATCTGTTACTGTTACTGCAGTATGCCATGTCTTCACCATAGCAAATGACACGCTTGAGGCCATGGGCTCTGTCAGGAGCCTGGTTTCATGAAAGCCTTTTCTACACTTCAGTGTAAGATTCTATTTTGAGAAGAATGGCCTGGCAGGAGGAAACATCCATTTGAAACTGCTTCTCCAGTGCAGCTGGTGGGAAGTCAGCAAACTGAAATGGGAAATGGACAAGGCTTTGGCTTCACCGGTCTTCAGCTTCTCACCTAAGATGTTGTTATTTCCAGAGATTTTTCAGTATTTAGTATGAGTCTTCATGCATCAACGTATTTTCAAGGCAGAAGGTCACATTGAAATTCTCTTGTATTTCCTATTGGGGCACTCATGATTCTCATGGCTCAAAGGTTATTTTTGTGTGCAATTAAAATATATTTGCAACTTGCATTCTGTTTATACAGAAGAAAAATTTATCTAGTTCAAGGTGCTCTATAAAGATCACAAGAGACCAAATCTGTCTGAAGGTGCCAGCAGTTTGTGTAGTGTAGCAATAATGACTTGGAAGCAGATGTACTGCCTTCCAATAAAAGCAGAATTCCCATGTGTACATTTTGTGTCATTTATAAGTTTGTATCAGAAATACATTCACTGAATATTTTACATTGCTGGGGGGAAAAAAGGGTGTGTATTGAAGAGGAGCACAAAAGGGAAGAAGTTGGTTTCCAGCTTTGGGGGATAGCACAGGAGGCATCACCACACATGTTGTTGCCCCAAGGTCTCTGTCGTATGTGATGCATTCTCCTGTGTACCCATGTGGAGATACTGGGACCGTACACAGCACCATGCTCAGGTGGCAAAGCCTGTGGCTGATTTCTGACTGGTAGTGAAAGGAATTCATTGCAAAGCTCAAGTAACATAACCATGTTAATAAATGGATGATGATCAGGTCTCACACAAAACCAGGATACCTTGCCATAATAAAACTCTATAAAGAATCTTAAGAACATGAGAAAGAGACACCAAGTAAGAAACGTGATTTAGGCATGTGCAAAGTTTTGAGCCTTGGAATTGGCTGATTGAAGTGGAGAATAATGTCTTGACATAAAATGAAATGTGATGGGGTGATAAAGGACCTCTAACTAAAAGGTTGGGTCTGCTTCATGAGGCCATTCATTACAAAAATGTTTGCAGTAGGAAAAAAAAAATCAAAGAGTTTTATTAGGTGAATAAAAAAAATTTGAAAGTTAGCTAGGAAAACATTCCAAGGGTAGAACTGCCACAGTATAAAGAAGGAATTTAGCTAAGTACAGCTCATTAAAAAGGAGTCAGATGTCTATAAAAAACATTAATTTCTTGCTACATTTGAAAATTCTGTTAAAATATATTATATATATAATTGCTTATTGCTTAATTTCTGCAGCTTTGTAAAGTCAGTTTCAGTAATTTCCAAAAGTGTGTTTTTTTTTTTTTCCATTGGTCTACACTGAAGTTTCAGTCTCTGGAGTATCTCACATTATTCTGTTATCATCATGTGGACTTTTATTCTGTCTCTATTACTTAGGGTCTAGCAATACTCTGTATGAAAGAATATATTTAAGTCTGGAAAATGTATTTTTGAAGACACAATACCAACTTGTGTAGGTACAGACACCTTTTGGCTTTGGTGCAGAGTCACAATGCAACCTTTCATATTTAACCTTTTGTGGAATTAAAATGAAAACTTCATTGAAAGTTTTTTGGCTTTTATGAATAGGGAAAATGACTGTAGTGCCATTAACCTCATTGTGCATATTCAAGTCATTAAGGAAAGGGGAAAAAATAAGGTAGAGGCATAATTTCCACTAAGAAATACTGATTCCTATAATTTTAGAAATTACAGACTGGAAAAATTCATGTGTCTCTAACATTCAGGAAGAATAATACATAAGTAAATAAAATCCCATTAGGGATTAAGTTAAAAAGACCCTTAAGAAAGCGCTGCTAACAGACAGAAGAAAGAGGAGTGTTATGAAGAGTAATTGGGTGAGATGGATGCCATTAACAAACCACCACACCTTTTGGATGAGAATTTCAGAAGAGCACGAAGGCCTTGGGTGCTCACGGCCTGTGCAGCTGGCCCAACTGCCTGGGGTTGGACGCCGCGGGCACGTGTGCCCCTGACAAACTACAAGGACGTCTTTGTAGCTCCTGTGGCCAGGCTGGGAGGGATGCATTGGCTTCTGTCAGATCCAGAGAACCTGGTGCAACCCTACCCTTTACAGGGAAGAAATAATGAAGAAAAATTCATGTTTTTACTGCTGGGTCAAGATTTGGCAAGTTGAAGACCCATGTTGCTACAAATAGCAAAACATGGAGAAACCCGGGATGCTCATGTATAGACTACTTATATGTCTACAGCTAGTCCACTATCTGGTCCTTGTATTTGTATTTCTTGTTCTAGTGCACTATTGACCCTATATTTATTGCAAATAAATAGCTACATTTATTGATTCTGAAGGATACCAGTAAATGTTTCCTTTTGTATTTTTTTCCTTGTTTAAATTGGTATGAGCTCTTCGTCTGCTGTTAAAATGTAAGAGATCAGAAATTATGCTTGAATAAACAATGTAGTAATTTATGTAACACCCTGGCAGTTTCAGATATTCAGTATCGTCCAGTGTTCCTTCCACTGGACAGATTTTCAAAAGCTGGCTTCTGTATTTCCCACCTGCAAACTACAGCAATGTTCAGTAGGAAGCGTTCTGTGCCTGCAATTAATTCTGAATGCAGAAGTGAAATCTGGCCCCATGCATCAAAGAACTTGGAGGCTGTTTCTCTGGCTATTTGCTCAGCTGACTGTATTTGATCAGAGCTGATGTCCACAGTGGTACGGTGAGGTTGACATACTTACAGGAATCCAAGTGCATTACTAATTGCGGTCACATTTCAGAATGAATGTTTGAGGCTTTTCCCTACTTCTTTTAGTACTTTTCACCATTAAAAAAACAGAATGAGCATTGGTTGTTTCCCTGTGATCCATCCGGAATCATAACATTTATATTTAAGTTCCATGTTAACAAGGGTTCAATTTATATTTCAAGGGCACTTACCTAGTTGTATTTAGGCCTTTTTCATTTTGTGGCTTGCAACTTCCTAGGACCAACTGCATCCCAGATAGCCGTCAGTCTCAGTTCTTATGCTCATATTACAGCTTCTTTGTCCCTTGCAGATCAAGATTTTCTGTACAAGTCCTGCTGAAATCCTTTCATGCAGTTTCATCGTTTTTCTCAACTTTTTTTTTTTTTGCTTCTCATGAAGTTTCCTTTCCCTTGAACTCTGTTATAGCGAATACACATTGCTGTAATTTCATGCCTATTTTCTATATAGCCTAATGAAATTAGAACAACAACAACAACAACAACAAACATAAAAAAATGCAGAGGTCTTAACAGAACAAATGTTTAGTAATAAGACTGATTCATGCCTAGAGTACAATATGCAAAACCAGTAGGACTGCTTACATGATTAAGACACTCAAAATTAAGTGTTTGGCCCTGTATATTTTGTTGAAATATGCATTATGCTGCTTCAGCTGGTAGCTCAGAGACCAAAAGTAGTCTTTCTGGAAAATACTAGGAGGTATTTGCACTTTTCATACCTGTGGATGTTACTAATAACGATAGTGCCAATTTCATTGTACTGTGAGAAGAAGGTGGCAGGTGAAAAAGAAGCACTGAGCAACAGCAGACACCATGGCTAGCTGTGCTCACCATCCTATTACAAATCTAGGAGTGGCTGATGAAAAAACACATTGAGCAAATGGCATAGGAATATGAGTAAATAGCCATAAAGGTAACAGTAATAACAGTTTTTATGAGGAGCTGGCCTGGTACAAAGTACCTCTAGATGTCACTGTAGCATTGTAAAATGTAGATAAGAGAAAGCTACAAAGCTGACATTACGGTTTACACACTCCAATTCCTGGTAACTGTTTCAGTCACCCTGTAATAAATTATTGGATCATTAAAAATGCTGTTACCAGATGTTGATTAAGAGCAAAAAACTTTTTGAAATCTATCAGTAAGACTGTTACTGAACTTTTTACTAGAATATTAAATATTCCTAGCTTTGGTTTAACTAACCTAGTTTTTAACAGCAAAGGCTAGTGCAGGGCAACAGCTCATTTCTGGATTTTTTTTTTTTTTAGTCCCTGAGCCTCAATCCTGATCTTTTCTGTGCTATGTTTATGCCAGCACTTGATGTTGGTTACAGTGAAATCATTTGTCTTGCTTTACACTGGTGCCAATCTGATCAGCTTGGTAGTGATTAAAATAAGGACCGTCATTTATTGGAAGATCATAAGTTAGAACACAGAGTGCTTGGATTTGACCAAAAAAATAAGGCTGAAATTTAATGAGGAACAATGCAACAAGAACACTGTATATACTAATACATCAATTGCCTTCTCCTCAGGTCATCAAAGAAAAGTCACATTTGAATGTGACGGGAACAAAAGAGAAGAAGCCACCAGATTCAGCAGGTTAGAATTTTTTTATTTTTTATTTTTTCCTAATCGGTTGCTAGTGCCTAAGGGTAACACTGCAGAGAAATAGCCATTACTCTCCTGAGCAGCTCCAGTGAAGTTAATTGGGTTACATATGTGGTTATCAGCATGAGTGAGAATTGTCCAAGAAGCATCAACCCACTTTTCCCATACCTGTGCACATGGTGGCAAACTGCTCAGAAAAGTTCTTTGCATGAGGAGTTTATTAATCTTGACTTGGATGACAATAAATTTGAGTGAGAAAAATGTTTTCCAGTGCAGTGTCTGAAAAGAAGAGTTTGTGACCCATGATATCCCTGTTTAAAGAAATAGTCTGGTCTTCCTTAGGAGACATTTATACTGACCTTGAAAATGTGAAAGCAAGTACCTAGTTCAAAATGCAACAGAAGTTATGCTAAGTGTGCAATCCTGGTTTAATATTGTTACTGACTGTTGGAGGATTACTGACAGATTCCTTGGTAATCTGTTTCTTTACAGAGGAAGCCATCCAGAAGAGCCAGTCCTGCTCTCCGGAAGAAGTTGATAAGCTCAACAAGGAAAATGCCGAGAGGGAAAGTTCTGTTCTGCTTCAAATGGATTCTCCCAAATTTCATACAGAAGGGCAAGAAGACAAAGGAGAAAGTTTGGCTTTTGAAAGCTCTTACAAATACAGGAGAAGCTCTGTTCAGAAATCCTTCACTACAGAAAAGCAGCAAGAAGAAGGTGCTGTTCATGATGCTTGTCAATCTCCTTCACAAAATGAAGATGCGGCAGAACAAAGCCAAGATCAAGAGGCACCAGAGGGAAGGTAAAGCTCAGACTACATGTTCTTAAGAGACCTATGCTTTAGAAAAATGTGTAGTTCAAGTTTCAAAGTGTCTGGTTAATATAAATAGTGAAAATCCAGCCCAATAGAAAAGTGTAAAATGAGTTTATATCTTTATCTGAGCTCTAAACTGAAATTATACCTTAAAAAACACAGGCAAACAATCTACTGTACACAGTACTAGCAGTGTTCTTTGGTTATTTGCTTGGGAAATGGTTTAGGAACCTGGGGATTATGTTAGGCTGCTCTTCATCTCTGAGAAGAATTCTCCCATTGTTATGTTTATATATTTGCAGCATCATTTAACCTGTGAGCAAAATTAAGGTTAGATTAGGCTATGTACCAATTGGGAATTAAGTTACTGCAAAATGTAGTAACTAAAGTGATAACATAAAACTGTGAAACTGCCCAGACAATTAAACTGATAAACTTGTTTACTGTAATTCTTTCTCTGCTGCACTAATATATAGCCCATCAGGGATAAACCAGTTTAACTTTTGGGAACCTATATGAACAGAGTGAAATCCCAATGCCATCCCATTGCTTTAAAGATGACACTGATAGCCAAATGTTAAATTTAGAAGAACTCAGATGAGGATTTCAGTAACGGAGAAACATTTTGCTGTCATGATTAATTTAGGGGTCATTTTTTATTTCTCAAAGTGAATATTAAATCAGTTTATTTTACACCATGAAGCAAAATAACACAATATTATTTGAATGCAATATATGTGTAGGCATTTTTCACCCTTGTTTCTAAATTTGCTTTGCTTTAAGTGTACCATACTCTAATGCCATGTTTTGTCCTTGCAGGTGTAAAGGCTGTGAAAAAGGTACAGTAAATTATAGTTCAGTCACTGAGCAGACCTGCCTATTTGAGCATAGTGGTAGCAGTAAGCATCGAATGAATGATGAAGGCCTGATCAAAGATGACAACAAAAAGAGCAGGCTACAAGCAGAGAGTGCTGATAGCATATGTAAAACTTTAAAAAAAAGCTCTTACAGGAAGTATTCCTAAAGGCAAAGCATTTGATTCCACTGTTATTACAGTACAATCACAGAAAGACATCCATAGAAGAGAAGAATTTTATGACTGTAATTAGTGGGGGGAAATGGTGTGTGTGGTAGTTTGTGGGCCACATTCCAAGCTGATGGGAAATAGCACGGTTCCATCTTGGAGGCTTTTGTTCTGGCAGAAATTAGTCGCAACTAATTTGCTTCTGCCAAACTTACTCCACTAATACTACCCTCTTGAACTCTTGGTTTAACAACAGAGCTAAAACTCCTAAATGTGGAGTGTTAGGAGAAATTATATCATGTGTGGCAAAACTGATGGACCTGTGGAAGTGCTGAGAACATGTGTTAATACAGAATCTGCAATGCTCTGGATGTAGCCTGCAAAACCAGTTTACTTGTATTTGTATCATTGCGATCTGAAGTGAGAACAACTGCAGCCTATAAAATAATGAAATACCAATTTTTGTGTGGAAGCCTGACTGATGCTGTTGAACAGTCAGATAAATGGTGCTCAGGCACTGAATTCTGAAGCAATGTTTACTGGGGTGAGGCAGAGTTGTCTAATATTAGACCTCCAGCTTGAGAATTTCAGTGCCTATCCCTTTGTATGAAATGATGGCACATGAGAGGATGGCCTGAAAGATTTGAAGATATATATGTGTGCATGTGCATGCATAGGACTCAGAATTAATTGATTTGCTTTGGGAATGGGGGTAGAGTGGGAAAGGGAAACAATTACTAAATGTTTGTGCTAGGCTCTTATAGCAGAAAACAGGAGATAGTGTACTAAAACTTTAAACTCCATAACCTGTCCTGAGCTCTGGCAGATTTTTAGGGATGACATTAAGATTAATGCTCTTGGAGCATCTTTGATTTGTAATGGCAGGTTGTTCTTGAATAGGGAGAAATCCCCTCTGGTGTGCAGGAAAATTAGGGGGTCTGTCACTTGAAAAGTTTTGAAGGATAAAACTTGGGCACAGTTTTAAATAGATGCTCTGGCCTCTTTAAAAGAACTCTTCCTTGCCCAAAGTTTGGTAACATTTGGGAACTGAGCTTTCAGAAAGACATTTTCTTCTGTCTCTTACTTACTGGGGCCCTTGGAGTTTGTGTTGTTAGAGTCAAATCTTGCCTTTAGGGTAGAGGTTTTTTTGGCATTTTGTAGGGCTTGGTAACACGCAAAGGCCCATACTTAAGGGCATGCAATTCAAACTCTGCAGAATCCCAAGTAGGTGGCAAAGTTCCAGAAGCCCCAGCTTTTCACAATTCCTTGACCATGAACTAACTTCCTGACCATGTAAGTTATTAACACTGTCAAAAAAAAAATCTAGGTACACAGCTGGTGTCCTGGAAAAATGGACATTCACTGTGAATAAGGACAATCTACTGCTACATTAATGACCAGAATGTTCCTGCCAGCTACATGCTGTCATGGGTTTTTTTTTGTTTGTGTTTTTAATCATTTTCACTGGAGTAATGAACGGTTTTAAAATTGCTCAACAAGCCTCACACAAAAGGGAGCCGGCATTCCAAACCAGAGAGCTCATGTTGAAACGCTGGGGCTCTAGCCCTCCCAACCAGTTGAAGAAGTATTTGTCACCTTGGTCAGCCAAAGGTCACTCTCGGGAATATCAATCAAATGAAAAACAACGTGGGTATGAAATTGAAGTCGCAACACCCTGCAAAAAATCCAAACAGAAATTAGGCATGCAGGGCTGTTCTCCAGCAGCGATTTTGGCATGAGGACGGCAGAATGGTCCAGCATGTGGAGGTCCAGACAATAAAACCACAGACTTGTGTTTGTGCCGAAACTCCTTACCTGCTGCAGTGTGATGTTGGGAACCCATCCCTTCTCTGTGCCCCTTTTTACCTTTTGTCTGCCATCTTTTTTTAAGGACAAAAATTCTTCAGAGCAGCATGTGACAGTTACCATGTGTCCTACCACACCAGGTCCTGAGCCATGCTGGAAATCCCAGGTGCTGCCTTCCAGGGTGAAACTCCTTCATGTGCACAAGCTCTGACTGTGATCTTTAACGGAGATGACCACACTGTGGAGAATGACAAGTTGTGTTCATCAGTAGAGAAGGGGATTCTTCACTATGAACAGCAAAAGCTGGGAAATAGCCTCTTCTAGCTGGGCCTAGAGGAGAACTCAGTCTCTCTTCATACCCCACTGGAGAGTTACAGTACTTACTCACCTATTAACAGTCTCTGAGGAAAAAATAAATCAGAGGAAAAGCTGAATCTCTTCCAAACAAATTGCTGAGGCCCTTTGTGGGCAGTAAGCTACACTGGTTTAGTCTAGTGGTCTTCCCTTTGCCTCTTGTTGCTGTTGTGCAGAGATGCTAACCTAATAAAGGAGTCTTTGTCTTAGTAGTGTGGGTCCCCAACAGCACCCTGTTTTCTGAGCCAGAGCTCCTGGAATAAACCCTTCTTAAATGACAGAGAAAGACCTAGCTATAAAATTTACAGTAGATGTATTTAGTTCTTAAATGAGCAAAAGAGGGACTAAAATATGAGATAGACAACCACTGCATGTGACCACTCATATGTTATCTGTCTGTTTTGTCTTTTGTAGATAATAGTCCTACTCCACCAGCACCGTTTGATCACCGGATTGTCTCAGCCAAAAGGGTGGGGATCAGCAGTTATTATAATGTCAGCGAGAATGAAATCCTGGGAGGGTAAGTCAGGTGAACCCAATCAACACGGAAAGCAAGGCACAAATTTACAGCCAAGCACTCCAGGAGGTGAATGGAAGCAACATGCCTCACTAGAGCCGAAGTCATGAAAGTCTAAGCTCTAACAGTGCTTTAGAGAGGGATGAAAACAGGAGGCTGATTTTACTGTGTGACTGAATTTTGGCTTAAGATTTGGCACCAGCAGACTTGGCTTGTTATTTGGTATCGTTCTAGGTCAGCCAGCTGCCCTCAGCATTTATGACAGGGCTCCTAGGATGCTGTAATACTTTACCTCACATTGCAGCCAGCAGGATGTAGAGGCATGTTGTAGCCTTCTTTCTCTCAGTGGGTCCCATCCCTGAAAACACATGTATGTTTTCAGATAGGTCAGGAGTTACAGGCCATGTAGTTACCTGATCTCTTATGTTTAGGAGAGAGTGATATTGTAATTTCTGATGGCAGCATGGTCTTGGGCAAGGCTTTGTTTCATTATGAAATTGCAACCCTCCCTTGGAGGAAAATGATGAGATGGAGAGGAGCAGATTTCACACCTAAGTGATTTGTTATCCTTACAGTATGTTGACTCCTGTGGGATTAGTCATTACATGTTATGAGGTGAGTGAAGTGAATCATACAAGTGGGATATCAGCTAGAACAGTGTGTGATTTTGGTGTGCCTAAATGAGTAGTAGCAAGTCTAATCTACACAACAAAATAGCATCAATAGAGCAATTGAAATGGAACCCAGTAGGGAGAGGATTTCTGTTGTTTATAACCTGGTTTACATTCAAGGCTGACACATGTACCACTGGATGATTTTTTTTTTCTCCTTTTTCTCCCTAGAGGACGATTTGGTCAAGTGCACAAATGTGAAGAGAAAGCAACAGGTCTCAAGCTAGCAGCCAAAATTATAAAAGCAAAAGGTCCTAAACAAAAGGTTGGTAAATGATATTAGTCTTTTATTCCCCAATGGATCCCACAGTGTTCTTCAGCTACACAACAGACCATGGCAAAGTGGCTCACAAGCCATCACACTTATAGGACCTTCTGGATTGCCATTGGCTTTATTTCTATTTTCCTTCTCCTCCAGAACTTCTAGTAACTCACTGAAGTCCTCTTTTGGGATTTTCTCTTTTTTTTAAAAAAAAAAAAAATCTCAATTTTTCCAACTTTCTTATCAGCTCTTTTTATTTCTTTGGCTTTTCTTTTTTTGTTTTCTGCTGTTAATTCTATTAGTATTTTCTTTAATGGTAAAAAGATTTGTCTGGCCTGTGACACAGTGTATTCTCTCCCAAGCACACTGTAGCCTTTACTGCAATTACTTGATGTCACTGTGAGGGATGCTGATAACAGGCATGATCTAGGCTCCTGATGTCAACACAAACACAGATGAGAAGAATTAGTCTGGCCTATTTTGCAAACCTCATGGCCATCTGGGGCTTGCTTTCACAAGAAAGACATTCATAGCATCCTTTGTGTGACAGCGGTGTCATTAATGGCATTTAATGGTGGGATTTGTCTCAGCTAACTGGGGTTGCTAAGGTATAGCTGTGGCCAAGCAGATCACCAAAATCCCCTTATAGTCAATGGAGAGAGACCGGTACCCAGCCCATACTAAACTGCATGTCTAAAATAGTTGGGCTGAGTGGAGGTACTAGTCTCTCTCCCCTGTCTGCAAAGGGAGGTTTTCAGGAGTGTCCTGGACTTTTCTTACACAGCTTGATTTTGTGTATCTACAGCTGGTTGAAACAAGTCCTATTCTGCTTCTGTCTTTTCTTTACATCCCTGTGAAGCCACTACTTGTCCATGTCCTGTTCCTTTTCCCTCCAGATAACTTATTGCTGAAGCAGTGCCCCATTCGATCTCTCATTTCAGTCTAGTAGCTTCTATAGAATTGAAATCTACTGCTGCAGGAGTGCTCAAAGGAAAACCCTGTGTTTGGCTGGCACGAGTGAAAATATGAAGATAACGTAGATGTCTGGTTCAAACTATGTCCTGTTTCATATAACTTTCTTGGTGAAACTTCCTCCGTAACAATACTCATGACTGTTTACAGGATGAAGTAAAGAATGAAATCAATGTCATGAACCAGCTGAATCATGTGAACCTCATCCAGCTATACGATGCCTTTGAATCAAAAAATGACATTGTACTAGTCATGGAATAGTAAGTATGTTCTTTTCTTTGCCTTCCTGTCTCTACCACTTTTGCTAGACTTGTCCATTTCCTTACTTTCTCCTGAAATTAGAAATGGAGTTTCTTATAGGTGGACAGAACATACAAAATACATTCTCAGGAACAAAAAAAAGGGGAATTTAAGAGAAAAATTTTCCCATGCAGCCATTTATACATTTTTTTCCAGTGATGTGCCACATTCCTGGTGCTGTAAAGCCACTGCTCCATTTGAAGATAGAAAGATAGAGCTGTGTTATATATACTTTCATTTCAATTTTAATATGTGGCAGCTAAGAAACAGAACTCTCAGAGTATTTCCAGTTTTTGGGGCAAACGAGAAGACATCTTACACTGAAGAGGAGCCAGCTGTATGTGTTGTGCCTAATCCTTATAGTGGGTGACTGAATGGATAAACCTGATTTTTATGCTGGGTGATCAGACTAATTAGGCACAAAATAACTGCCTTAAAGTCAGGTTAAGCAGATGTCTTAAGGAAGCCAAAAAGGGCATAACTAAAACATTGAAAGGCGTGGCAAAACTTTCAAAGTTATGTGTGTCTGGCTATTCTGGATATTCTCAGATAGTCCTCTGAATTTGGTCTACATGTTTAGCATATCACAAAAGGTTAATGTCTGTGTAGCTATGAATGGGTAAGCTGGAAGCATTCTGAAATGTGATGAGAAATTAAGAAGTCATTTTTGTTGACTTTAGTTTCAAATTGAAATTTTGGATCATGTCCCTCTTGAACTCTGAGAGAGGAGCAGCAGATTTAAATGCAAATTCTCCCATGTTTTCTTGGTTTTCCATGTGACTTCATTAATTTCACTGATACAAAATGATGACTCAAGACAACACAAGGTTCATATTTCAAGACTGTCATACTTATCAATGGATGGGAGACTGAATCCTCAGACCTTGAAGAAGTTCAGTCCAGTATCCATCAGAACCCAGTTCTTTGAAAGTTCAGATCAGAGTACAAGCTCATATTGTAGACCCAACTTACTGAACTTGACTGAATGATTAAAATAGTCAAGAGCATAAATTCTGTATTACTCTAACTGCATGTTATTGGATTTGGACTTTATTGTCTTTCTCTTACCAGTGTGGAAGGAGGAGAGTTATTTGATCGAATTATTGATGAGAACTGCAATTTGACAGAGATGGATACTATCTTGTTCATAAAACACATCTGCGAGGGAATTCAGTACATGCACCAAATGTACATTCTTCATTTGGATCTCAAGGTATAGAATTGTGTTGTATGTTTTGTGCAATGACAGCTGTGGAAATTCTTATTCTTAATGGCAGGCTGTACAGCTTATTAGATTTCCATGGCAGAAGCAGCAAAGGGCCTTATCCTGCTCTCCTTAGACCAATGTGTATTTACTTTAGCCACACTGAGATCAGTAAATTACTCCAGGAGTAAGTAAATTAGATGAGAATTGTGGTCATATGTCCTCAAGCCTTGCAGTGCTTGAATTTTCCACAGATTTTACAGAAAGCCAGCAGCTTCCTGTTTTCAATTTTGATATTTGGATCTCAAGATATTGTGCAAATATTATTTAATTAAAATGCACAAGATCTCTGTTTTACACATCAACCACGGGGTAGAAATTATCCCCATTTTTTACCATGCAGAAACCAAACATGAGGGAGTGGGACGAAATTCAAGGGTCATTCAGGATCAGTGAAAACCCTGCACATCTTTCTGAGGACTATACTATGCTGTCATGGTTATGAAAGGCATCAATAGATAGCCAGCTTAAGGAAAAATACATTAAAATGTACCTGATAAAAGGAAAGAAATAAAAATAGTCAGTGACTGGTGTGACAAATACAGTACACCTGTATTGGGTTAGGCTATGGCTGCTAGTGCAGCTGAAAGCCCAGAGAAGGGTAGCAGATTCTCTGCAACATAATTGCTTAATTGTAAGAATTGTTCAACTATATACACAAAAAGTCCCCTCACTTCTTTTTAAAAATAAATCCAACAATTGTACATCCTTACATTGTCTGACTGCTAATGATTAACTGTCACCCCTTTGAAAACAGTTGTTGTAAAGGTATTTTTCATTAGACTGTACATTTGAGCTGGCTCTTTCTCCCTTAACCTAGGTTTTTATCAAGTAATAGACTTGTTTCTTACTTCTGTTTAGTTCAGGAATAAAATGGGATGATGTCTTTAGTTTTATGACTGGCTATAAAGCTTCCTAGTGATCCCTGAGCTTTGCAACAGAGCAAAAAGAAACAGAAAGTGCACAAGATGGTTTTCTCTTTGGTGAGATTTTTATTACAACTGCTGGTTTTGTCTTGTAATAACTGAGTTAATGTAGTATGTCTTTAATGTTGTTAGTGTATATATTTTTGCAGTGGTTAAGCAAATGAGCAGATGCTTGTTAGGACCTGCTTCAGTTGCTAATCAATGGCCACACTCATTTTTCTCTTTCTTTACAAACATTCAGTCACCCAGAAACCTGTCAGGCAGAAGTTTGGATGGTTCTTTGGGACACATTAATTATGTTCTTGGAGATGGCACAGTTATAATATGAGGTCGAACTGCTGACAAAACGATACCTATACCATCCAAGAAAGTTTTCCCAGAGACCTCTTTTCATGTGCTTGCCAACTATGGCTTCTCCCTTCTGTTTTGCTTGTTCATAGATTGCTGGCAGTAACAAATGGGTTTGGGGAAGAAATCTTGAAATTGAAAGAAAATCATCCTGACCATAATCATCCAGGACCTCAGAAACTATGGACATATGGTGTTTAAAAGTCCTATGGTGTTTAAAAGTCCTACATGTAAAATGAATTAGTAATGGTGACAAAGGTTAACTAATGTTTTAAGTGTTGAGGGCTGTTTTGTTTCAAAGAGAACTCAATGAGCAACAAGACAGAGTAGCTATAAAACTGCTGGCAGTTAATATGAGACTGTATTTTAGGTATTTACATTTCAAAGACAATTGGCCAAATTCTGTTCTCTGTCATTTCTGTATGAATTTGGAGTAATTCTGGGAAGTTAATGGATTCCTGCCAGGGAAGTGAAGAACAGCATTTGGCCCTATGAAAATCCAGAGGGATTTTTAACCTGTGAATCCTAACTTTTGTTAAAATATCTGAGAAAAGCATAAAGTTGATGTCACTAACTTAATATATCGCTATTCAATCAGACAGTTACTTCCAGAATATTTGTGAACTCAAAATCTTAAAGCTGTAAGACAAACTTCAAAGTCCAACAAATTATTTTTTTGGATTTTTTTTTTTTTTAAAATCAGTGTCATCTTATTAAAGTCTGTAAAATCACAGTGCCAGCATCCTGAAACCCCTCCGGAAGTCTGCATTGTCTGTCCCCCTCCCCCTAATGAGTTCTTTATCTGAACTGCTGCCTTATGTCAAATTGAAAAGTCAAGGAGAAGCAAAAGCAGTTGCAAGGCACAGAACACAGAACTCCAACTGCTGTGTGATAGCAGGGGAAGGTACCCCTGCAGAGAAATCTAAACAAGGAGAAAAGCAAAAGGTGCTTATGAGATGTTTGTTGTGTTTTTAGTGTTTTTCTCCCCACAGTTTGCTAAAAGCCCAGTTTTGCAAACCTTTTTCTTTTTCTCATTAAAGTGTTTTTTGATTTATCTTGTCAGCCTGAGAATATCCTGTGTGTGAACCGAGCAGCAAATCAAATAAAAATTATTGATTTTGGATTGGCAAGAAGGTACGTGCATGTGTTCTTGCTAATTGTAAATGAATTAGGAAACAGTGAAAAAAAGTATTACATCTCTACAATGACATATTTGATCCATAATGGTCTCCTACTGTTCTCAGGACAAATTTAATGTGTCTCTTTTAAGCAGGTATATCTTCTAATAAGGAATTGGAGATAAATAAAAAGGATTTGTTCTGAAGCCTTTTTTCGGGTAGAAGGTTGAAAGAGGGCTGATTCTGACAAAGCATGGACATAAGTATCTTAGACAGTTAAAATGGACAAAACCAGTGGTACATCTTGTCTGATCTCTTGTCTCTGATGTTATGAGATTCTTCAAAAGAGAGTATAAGAGACCATCAAGGGCTGTTACAATATATCCCATGCTATATCACTTTCTAGTTTAATTAGGTACTATAACCTCAGTGAAGGATTTACTGGTTAAAAATTCCATGCCTGTGATATGGAGAAGTCCCAAAAGGATAACAGCTGCTCTGAGGAGCCCTTGAAATCTAAATTTCTTCCTTTGTGTAGCAGTTGGGTTTTGCCCTAAAGTATGATATAAAGCTTGCAAACATTTTTCCTTCTACATGTGGGTATATTTGGGTATATTTATTGTTACTTTGTACCTCTGTCTTTGTTTTCCTCCTGAATTTCCTGTATGTTTCTGAAATTCCTCTAAGTGCTAGACAATTTATGATACAACTTTAATTAGAGCTTTAATTGATGTGCTCTGTTAATGTTTACATTTCCTAGATATAAACCCAGGGAAAAACTTCGAGTTAACTTTGGGACTCCAGAATTTCTTGCTCCTGAAGTTGTGAATTATGAGTTTGTCTCCTTTCCTACAGACATGTGGAGTGTAGGAGTCATCGCTTATATGCTGTAAGTAGGATTCACTCTCTACTTAGTGAGCTGTTTCTAGACTGAACTGTGTCAGTCATCCAAATTTGTTGTTATATGGGAAGATTGGCAAAATCAGTACAGAAAGTAGAAAATGCAGGCTTCTTTCCAAATACTGTATTTAGTAACCTCTTTTCCAATCATCATGAACTTTTCTTCTTTGTTTCATTGCACATCTCTCATGAGTAAGCATCACACTTCCAGAATAATGTAGGCTTCTTGGTAAGTTACCAGTAGATATGTGCAGGAGTGGTCAGAGGCCAAGAAAACATGACCTATCATGAAAGACAGTAATGCTTGGTTTGCTTAGGGAAGAAGGGTGATTATTTAAATGTGTAAATAGAAGAGAGAATGGGTACAGTATGGAGACTTTCTTAGACAATAACATGTTGCAAAATAAGCCAGGAGTGACAGAACAAACATAGGTGGCACACTGGAGATCATGTACAACAAGGGGAAAAGACAGGAGGGTTCAACATATTTCTTTTTACTTTAGCCTCAGTGGATTGTCTCCTTTTTTGGGTGATGATGACAATGAGACCCTCAACAATATCCTGTCCTGTAGCTGGGATTTTGAAGATGAGGAATTTCGAGGTGTTTCTGATCAGGCCAAAGATTTCATCTCAAAGCTTCTCATCAAGGAAAAATGGTATATAATCCCTGTATTTTTGAAATACGTGTTCTATGCCATCATGTCACAGTTGTGTTACTTGTGCTGCTCCACTGCAGAACTATCATGACTTACCTAAGTTTTCTTATGTTCATATAGAATATTACAATGCCACATCATTGATGGTGTTCATTGTGTCCATAAAATTCTCTGAAGTTACCTGAATGCAATTCTGCTGTGAAGCTTCATGGATTAACTGCCATCTGGTGTAATGTCCTGAAATGACAGCATTGCATGGTGGCAGACATGACCTGTAGGAGATAACTGTTGAATTGTAAGATTCTGGGAAAAACACTTACTAGCGTTCTGGTTTTCCTTTAGCTGGAGAATAAGTGCAACTGCTGCCTTAAAACACCCATGGTTATCAGACCACAAGCTCCACTGCAGACTCCAGGTCCCTAAATTTAAATATCCTTGTGCATTTTAGATCTGCTGTTGCCTTCTTGTGTTGCTGCATCATTATTTGCTTTGTCATAATCTCTTAACTGGTTTTGAGTCTTCCTTGCTGCTGCATTTCTTGCCACTGTGAGCTACATGTGTCCCTTTGCTTTTTTTTAGCTGTTATAATTTGCATGCTCACACTTGCTCATCAACTCTTGCACATCTGGGAAGAAATATAACATCACACAATTGCTGTGTGTTGCTGAGTGGATCAAATCCTTAGCAAAATGAGACTATTTACAAGATGAGTGCTGAATTACCATATGTTATGATATGTTATGAGTTTTCCAGCTGTGAATGATTCTGCTTCCTGCTTTGAAAACCTGAGTGCTGTAGATTTCATCCCACCTCTTCCCAAGGGATACCTTTCCCAATAGAGCACCCAGTGTGCACCTTTGTACTTAAACACCTTCTTGCCCTTAGAGGGTAGCCAGCTTAGTGGCCAACACAAAAGAAGTAGTTGTTCACACAATTCAGTTGGGCTGAGCTGGAGAATCAACATGATTTTAAGTAATTTTGATGATTCCTCTGTTAACGAGCCACTTAGTCTGAGAGATTCACACTGTTGATGAGATTGCTGCTGGCTGATTCTAAGTGAGACCACTCTGTGGTTCAGTGGTTCACAAAGGGATAAGTTTAAGCAAGTTACAGCATTTGAAGTGCAACATTCACTTCCTCCTTTGCAGACAAAGCATATCTATGTTAAATAAAATGACTGCTGTATTGCTTAGGATGTATATGTCAAGGTGTCTCTTGAACTACAGCCATCATTAAGAATTAAGAGACCGTATTATTAATTAACAAAATAATCTTATTAAAATAAGAACAAAGATTATGATGATGATAATAAAGCAGTTGTAGCTCTGCTGATGAGATGGTATGGGTTCTGGGCAGGATGAACTGAGTAGTGTCCTGACAGCTCTGTCCTTGCAAGATATTCCTGTCACACAAAGTAAGGACAACAAGAAGTAGTATAAAATGGGAAATAATAGCAATCAAATAATTTGTTATAATTTTCATTGAAATTTGGTTTTCATTATAATCTCCCGAAGAGCAATGCCTGTGAGATTGCTAGAAGATTTATAAGTGTGCATATACAGTAAAAGTAAGAGATTTTGTCATGGTCAAGTATCTCTTCAGAGGGTTTTGTAGGATACAATTTGACTCCTTTAGTTGGGCTCCAGTAAAGCTGATTCCTGCAACCTGGGGAACAGGCTGTTTTTTCCAAACGCTGCAAGAACACAGGCTGCTTACCTGCTGTCCTGCTTCCTATTACCAGTTTTTGTCTGGGGAAACCCTACCCTAATAGAAACATTACAACTCATGTTGTCCTTTGTAACTCCTCCCCTAGTATTTTTTGTTCATGCTTTATACGCTTTGCAAAATAGCTTCACTAAATGTGTTGATGTTGCAGTGTTCTGCCATTACCTTCACTAAGGTAAGATGTGGTTGATCTTCAGTTAATGCTCCAATAATAGCATCTTTCCTTTTTTTTTTTTTTTTTTTTTTTTTTTTCCCTAGAAGAAGGCTAAAGATGACTGTGTGCCCCAAGCACCCCCGGCTCAATAACCACTGTGAAAGAGCTGCCAAACAGAAGGTTTGTTTCAGGTCCCAAGTGTTTCTTCAGAAATAAATACTGTAGCCCCTGAGGAAGGGATCAGTGGGCAGCCAAAAACCTTGCACAGTCTGAAGTGCATGGTCCAAACTGTATTCACCAGCACCATCCCTGCTGTTGTCTGGAAAGCATTCAAAGTGTAAACTGGCCCTATCACTTATACTAAGTCACAGCAACGTGCAAAAAAAATCATATATGTGAAGCCATATGTGCTGCAAACCCTGGCCATTTTAGAGGGAATGGTTATGCTCCCACTGACTCTCATGGGGCAGGATTTCACCCAATAATTTTTCAGTGTTGAAAGCTTTCAGGTTTTCATGCTGTGGTTAGGAGTATGGCTTAAAAAGGGTAGAAATATGGAAAGTAATTACTTTTTAGCAGAGGCACGGGCCAGACCCTCAGGGCAGCTCCACTAACTGTAGCAAAATGAAAGCAAGGTGTCCCCTAAAAGAAGCTGCTCCACACTTTTGAGGACCAAGTTCTGACAGGGTACTTCTCTGCCCTTTGAGCCTGTAGCAACCCAAACAGTTTTGACAGAGCATCTTTCTCTGTCCTTTTTTTTTTTCTGGCTCCCTGTCTTTGCCCTTTCATTAACAAACACTTCATTAGTGGTTCTCAGGCTGGCTTGGTTGCCTCCCCTGAGGATCAGGGAGTCTCAAGTCTGCTCTCATGTTCTGTCTCTGGTTTTTGACCAAAGCATACTCACTCAGCCACTTTGAAATCAGGCTACCTCAGGCGGTTCAGTATCTGCAAAAAACAGTACCCCAATTCCCACAGCCACTTTTACTAACTACCACAAAAGTTGGTGGCTCTGTTGAAGGACCATGGGAACCACTCAAAGGTTCTGGGGGCATCTCTGGGCAAACTCAGTGGAGGGTCAAGATGTGAATGAGGCTGAGAACACACACACTGCAAAACCACTTCCTTTTAGTTGTGCGTCATGAGGAACAACCAGGATGCCAAAATAAAAGTAATCGACTTTTCACCACAAGCAAGTTTTTAATGCTGCCATCATCCATCATCTGCTTGGTAGGGCAAGTAATGTACTGGGTTGTGTTTGCAACAGGTTTTGTCCAGAAACATGTGAAAAAGAGAGTATTGTGAGAGGTTGAAATTTTTGTTCTGTTTAGACTACGTAATATTAGAATAGATTTTATACGGTGTCGTGTAGTAACACAGAAGCTAATGATCTTTAAATGAGCTATCTCGACGACTTGAAGCTGCCTTGCTATGGTACACTGAAGGTCAGTGAGGGCTAAGGTGCCATTATTATATCCTACTTGCTCTCTGAAGCCACAACTTCCTGATATGGTAATATCTAAGCATCAACTTTTGTAGTAGGAATCCCATGGGAATTAAGATCTCTTTGTGATCCTCAGCATTCGTCCCCTCTTCATTGGTGCCGGGACAGGTTACATAGAACTTTGATCCACTCACCTGTGTGCTTCTACATGGTAGTTTTCTAAACAGGTTTTCCTGACCTGTTACAGGAGTAGTGTTTTTATCTGTATGTCCCATTTCAAGCCACTAACTGCACAGCAACCAAATGGTGAAAATTCTCCCTCTCTAATGCAGGAAGAACTGAATTACACAATTTTCTATTACAACCAAAATCAACTTTGAGATAAATGGACTGTCCAAGAGCAGTCAAAATTATTTTTAAATAAACTTTTTATAGCTTTGTAACATAGTAACCTACCCATGATCTAACTTGCAGGAAAACCTGGTTTTGGCTTTTGCAGTTATTTCCTCTGCATGTGTTTTTCTTTTTGGAGTTTATTTGAGTTTACTTAATGAGTGGATCTAAAGTCATAGCAGTGCTTTGTTTTTAAAGAATCCCTTTAGCTATTTTTATCAGGCAAGTAGTATGGTTACCACACTGAACCCAAAATAATACACTCGAGTGCCAGTTGATTTAGACCTGGCATTATAAATGCTTGCAGTGGTAACACAAATAAATGGAGAGGTTTGCAGCATTCCTTTTCATGCTGTGATCTGTATGACAAGAGAGGCAAAAAGGTAGAGTACCTGCATTTCAAGAGAGACCTTCAGGACTATTTCTCCACTTAACAAAGAGGCCTTTTCTTTTTAATATTGTATAAAACATCTCACAAATAAGGTGGCTGCAGGAACCCTTTGTAAGCAGGAAGCTTCAGCCCTGCTTTCTTTTCCTCATGCCCAAAGAAACCACCATGTGGTTGTCCTAGAACACTTAACCAAATAAAAAAATATACTGCTGAATTAACTGGATTCTTGTTTTGTTTGTTTTGCAGAAAAGCTGCTGTGTGGTTACTGCTGCTAAGAGATTTGAAAATATCAGCAGTCTTGGTGCTTTACCCCGCTGCCGTGACCGAGACTTTTACTAAATGGACCAACAGCACTTTAACTGCAGGACAAGTCCCAACTTTGCTGAGCTGCTTCTTCTCTGTTCAGCTGTTGAAAGAAGGAAAGTATTTCTCCAGGTTGCAGGAAGGTGTTTCTTCTGGAGTACCGTGTTGTCAATGTCTGGACATGCTACATTAGCTTGGATTCATAGCAAACTTTTCTCTGTCTTGTCTTACATCCTCATTTACTTATCAAAGGCTCCTTAAGGTACAAATTATCAGGTTAAATTGACTGTTTCTCATCTCAGCTCAGAAGGCAGTCTGTCACTGTGTTACATCTGTAACCAAGGTTGATTTGACACTGGAGTCAAATTTTTTTTTTTTTTTTAATTGCAGCTAATTTAAAGCTGCCTTATGTAGAAGATTTGAAGTTTGTTTTTCCTGTCACACTAAAATGAGCCAAGGATTAGCTCAACCAAAGCTGAAGCCATGCTAACACAACACCAGTGGAAGTGAGAAATGAGGTTTTCCTTGCACAGAGGTGAATTTGCTGCAACCTTGATATGATACATTTTAGGATTTTTTAGACTGATTAATTACTGTTCTCTTTAAATACACTTGGATTAATTAAACAAGAAAGAGAACAAGGCACTATTCACTTGTACCCATGCAGACCCTGTTCTCCAATATGCAAGTATAATTCAGAGTTATTTTAACAGAGGGTGATTTATACCAGCTAATTTGTTTAATTCTGCTAGGACTGATTAAGACCGTTGGCAAACAGGAGTCAGACCTCTGCTCATTATAACCGCTGGGTACAGGCCCAAATGCAAAACCTGTTTTTCTAAAGATTTATTTTCTTATCTTGCTCCCAAGCCTTTCTGATTCTGATAAAAAACTGGGAATCAGAACAGCTTAATTTATTATCTGAGATTGTTTGAGCATGGCTCATCACTAAGTGAATCTGAGTTTTAGTTGCCTAGGCTGCAAGGTTAAAGTAATGAGACTTATTCCCTGCTGTATATGGCTTTCTGACTGCTTGGTTTCAGAACTACATAAATGCAAAGTATAGTGAGTATTTTATTCAATGATGCTGACATATTATGGTGCCTTTAGATTTTCTTTGATCAATCAAGTACCGATCAAGCTACATATTAACATAGCTATCTTTATATATTTATCTATACATTTCATACATATTTATATTTAAATTATGTCTTTTTTTAAAGGGGATCAACATAAGACAAAGCAGTATTATTCATCGCCACCCAATGAATTGTTTTTCATACCTTTGTCCTTTCTGGATAGCATTCATATTGAAATAAAAGGGTCCCATTAATGGGACGCCATGGCCATGACATTCTCTGCAGCCAGTTTGATCCAATGTTTTAAAACCATTGTAGCAGATCTCTTAAGTCTGCTCCTGTAAATGAGTAGATCTTCCTACAGCTGTGAAATCTAAGAAATACTGATGTGTTGCACTAGCTGTTGCAAATACACGAGACCCATTACTACTATCACACAATGACTCACCATGTAACTATGATACCATGTAGAGCACTGCCACCTTCAAATCCTTATCTGTAGTCTTAACTAAAGTCAACTCTGACTAGCAGAAATGGAAGTTTCTTTGGGAAAAACACTAAGCAGTCTCAAAGTAAGAAAATGCGCATATGACTTTTAAATAGAAACTGGGCTGCTTATTTTTAGTCGCCATTTATGTTTTCCTGTGCAAAATAAATAGAAAAGCTACCTTCCTGTTAGGGCTGGAGTTCCCACTCCTGTTCTGACTGCCTTCAAGATATTGTAGCTCTTTGTACAGCAAACAACTCAATAATCAGACTAAAATGCAGCAGACCACTTTGGAATGACGAGATCTCATTATTTACTTTAGGGCCAGTATTATAAGATTGGGTTGGGGTTTTTGTTTTTCTTGTGGTAGATTTTACATGGGTATGAATAAATTGCATGTCATTTTGAATCTTATTAACTATTCTAAAATAACAGTGTGACTGCAGTCTTATCTGCTTTGTTGCTCAGTTGAATTAAGAGTATTTATTGTTTGTGGATATATACATCTGAGTAGCAATTAAGAGCTTAATGCTATAAAGATCAGCCCTGTGTTAGAGTGTGTTGTGCCGAGTCAGCCACAAGTCCTCCAGGAGCCATAGGAGAACGTGGCCTGTGTTATGTAAATCCACAGAATTCATCCTTACAGCACTCTGACAGAAACAAGCACACGTGAATTACTAGGGAGGGTGGAAAAGCTTGACATATTTCACATGCTTTGGGAGGCTAGACCCTTTCAGAGGGCATGAGTTGAGGAGGGGGTACCTTACTAGCCCCTTGCTTGTGCAACAGGGCAGTGTGCTAATATACTCAAGAGATTTAACCTTCATTGTTACTCACATGGATAATGATGGTCACACTCTTGAGTCTTTGTTTCATCCTTGGAACAGCTCCTATAGTGGGGGATGAGGTTGAGGTAGGGGCAGTTGGAGAGGGTTGGACTGAGCGAGTCTCTATAGTGTCTGAAAGTGTCATGTGGCGTCCAGGGTTAAGCACAAGCACGGGCCTGCAGGTGTCCAGCAGAGGAGGAAAAAAATCCCAAGCATACTTCTTGTTATTGCCCCATAGACTCTGGCTCTGCAACACTGAGTCAAAGAAAGGCGCATTACCAAGATCATTATCATTATCAAGGGTAAAAAAATTATACTGCTGTGTAATTATCACATGTATAGCAACGTGCCTGAGAAAAGTGTCTCCAGAGATGTTTGTTTGTACCTTTTCTGGCTGTTGTAATTGTAGTTAAATAATAAGTTGACACAGCTTCTTTTTAGTGGCTTTTTAATTCTGTCTCATTGCACTTTGCACAGCATGCTGTTTTGTGTGTGTGTGTGTGCGCGTGTGTGTGCGTGCAGGTTTGGTTTTAGTTGTTTTCCTTAAATACATTTTGTAATGAGTAAGAGCTAGAGACTGCTGTATTAAATTATTGTTTTAACACATAATTATTTATTTTCTACTGTGTAATAATAATAATAGGTCAACTAGGTTCTAATAAGTCAACTGCATCTGTGTGAGTTTGCTTATTATCATTTTTGTTGCGTATTGGTTTAAGTGATTGCATTTGGAAACTGTGAATTACTGTGCTTGAGAGCAGGTTTGGGTGTGAAAGGCACTGTACTAGCTGTTGTTACTCCATTTAGCTATATACCCATAGGCAGTCGGAGATGGCGGCAGGTACTACAAGAGTGATACAGAAACATCAGTTGTGGTGCAAGGGATAAAGCATCAAGATGCAGTATTTGGTCTGTGTGCGCCATCATATACTTGACGACACGTAAAAATTAAAGGCTGTATCATGGAAACATAGTGATTTATGCTAGGTGATGATCTGAACCCCAGGTTTGCATGCAGACTCCCTGCTGGCCTGCAAAAAGGCAGAGGGCTTTCTGTTTGGAAAGGCGGCTTTAGCAGTGATGTTACATAGGGGCTGCTCTGCAGGGACGACCTGCGGGAAGTCACTGGAGATTGAAGGCACTCTGTAACTGACAGATTTTCCCAGGGTCTCAGATGTAACTGTACTCAGAAAAGCACGACTTTAATTGTCAGGCACGGAAAGATGGCTATCACATAGCACTTTTAAGAAATAGGATGCTGCTGTTCCCATTTCTATAGATGCAGTGGAGAGATTCAGCTAGAGAAAATCTCAGAGAGTTTTGCCCAAGATATACTAGTCTAACAGCATCAGTATTCAGAGCAAATTTGTTTGTCTTAAAATGGGGCACTAGTGGGTTTCCAACTCTTTTTGCATGTTAAACATCCAGGAAGTTATGAAATGGGTAAAAACCTTTAGCACAGAAAGATGTCCAGACTATCATATCCATGTCTGTGAGCACCTGCAGCCAGCCGCTCCCCTGACAACCTAAGCTGTCAGCAATCTGTGATAATCCACTCTGGAGATTAGAACAGAAACTACTTCTTAATTTCTTTTTCATATTCCTTCTAATGTCAGAAGCTGAATAAAGTTAAATCCTAAGCTAAATGCTGCTATAACTTGATTCCAACCAGGAATAACAGTGCAGCTCCACAGAATTAAATAAGGGAAATGCATCCACCTTTTGTGATGTGACTAGCACAAGAGCCCTGTTTAACCCCCTCCTGCCTGCCAAAAAAATCTACTTTGCACCGGTCCTGATCAGTAAAAATAAAGGAACCTTAATTTTTTAATAGTTAAGGAATGTCAATCAAGATACAGTTTTTCTGCAGTGGTTAGATTGCTGCGGTAAGAGTCAAGGTATTTTAGCATCTTCAGTTTAATGCTGACATTACAAATCACTGACAGCCTCTTTCATCCTAATGACCCCCACCAGCAGGTGTTGTGAGAAAAGCAGGTGTTTGTCAGCTCTTCTCTGCTGATGGGGACCTGAAAACATCCAAACGCCTTCCCCTGGCTCCACCAGTGAGCAAGGCAATTCTTAGCTTGTGTACTCTTAATATGTGCTAATGATTGAAGTTTTGCTTAGTATCAAACCCACAGCAGTGATGAATGAATGAGCACCGATGCTCTAAACTCCTTCCAGGAGGATGATGCATACATACTACTTTTATCATCACTGATAGATACTTGTCCTTGTGTCTTGTGTGAGTAAAACTAAACACTGCATGAATCCATTTAGGGACATTAGACTTTCACCTTCCATGAAGGCTTGGTAGCTGAACAACTACCTACCTGTTTCAAATCTTAGATGAAGACTGGTAATGTTTTGTAAATATGTTGTTTACTGTATCTGTAGAGTCAGTGACCACATTTTGGTGCAGCAGAACTAATGTTTTTCTACCCCACAGCAACTTCTCTTAAATTTAGATGACAGGCATGGGAGAACTAAATTGTGAAACACATGGATTTTAATGTACTATATCACTTTGGTTTGCATATCTGGTTTGGTAGATTAACTCATGTATCGCTGGTATGTGTTCTTTTGTGAAAAACATGAGCAATCTTGTAAAAAGATGACTGAGGAATAAATGCTGATTTTGTTTACTCCAGGGGGTTTGTTTGCTGTATTTAATGTACCTGCCACTTATACTAGTAAGTAATAGAAAGAAACATGGCCTTTCTCCCAACTGGTATCTCTAGATACATGAAGATAAAATTTCCATTGAAACAAATATACCTGAATGGAAGTTTCGCTCATGCTCACAGCTTGTACTCACCCCTTGTAAGAAATCTGCAGCTCTCTCTGCAGATAACTAGGATTTGAGGTGCGCTTGGCTGCAATCTTGCTGCAAGTTCTTACACCAGGTCACTAGGGTGGAAAGAAGACATTGCTGACATTTCTGGTGCTTAGTCACTCAAGGGACCTGGTGTCATTCTTTTCTCCCTAAATTGTCACACTCGGCTGTTGGCTTGTTATTCAGTATTGCTGTCTGGGGAACGTGCTTTAACCTTACCTCATCTAGGAGTTCACAGACTAATAAAACAGCCTGAAATCAGAAGGAATGTTTCCTGCAGAGTTAAATCAACCTTAAATTGGGCTGGCTAATGAAAAAAAATGAAGAGCAAGAGCAAAATCTGAGAAAAAAGTTACAGGGTGAGAAAGCAGGAAACAACTTCTGGCTGGCACTGGCCTATATTCACTAGCACTAGAAAAAGCAGCACTTTTTCTGTGTGCTTTATCCACAGCTCTGGTAGCAGCACTTGAAACTTTCACCGTGCTCGAGGAACAACTTTGTCTTCTTACACTGAAAGGTTCCTATTTGATATAATCCTGTATTTGATGAGCCTGAGCTTTGTAGGTGTAATATTGAAGCCTACAACAAGACACCCTCCTGATGAAGCTGTAAGTTAAATCAACCACAGAGTTGCGCTCATCCTCTGGGGAGCTCAGTGCTTCTGGCCAACACAGAGTGAAGCCATCGCAATCCGGCTGGCAGAGTTTGGATACTAGGGAAAGTAGAGAGGCCAGAGAACAATTTGACAGCAGATGAGCACAGGACAGGCAGCCGCTGCCCCTTACAACTGCTGAAGACAGCCCTGAGACCACCAATCATTCTGACAGTGCCATGCCGGTTATCCTGGGCAAAGACTCTTTCTTGGCGTCCTTCCTATGCAAGTAGGTGAGAGATTTCC